ATATTTGGCACAGATACATTTCATTATCAGTGATTATTCTATCAGTCATCAAAACTTGGCTGTTACAGAAACTAAAATTATGAGACGGTGATAAACAATGTAGTATTTCATTTTATTGTGTTAAATAATGGTAAATCCTTCAGTATAGTTTGTAGTCTCATTCAGAAAAGCGATACAAAACAAAACAAGGCCAAAAGAAAAGCCTGAAAGGAAAACGGACCACAGAACAGGAACTACTCACACAATGGCTCTACTTTGCCTGATGAAAATAAAATCTAGATGAGGGTTTTTGCACTGAAATGTTATTAGTGCAAATTCAAATTATCTCTGGCCTCACTAAATTAACATCATAGAAATAATTAAGGAATAATATTTTGAATGTATGCAAAGCTTTCAACTGGTGCAGGGCACCAAGTGATCTGCCCAAGGGTGTCCTCATTTCTTCCGCTAGCTCTAACTCTTAAACTAAAAGGAAAATGAGCAAACCGAAACCCTCTTCAATATTTCACATTCACTTGGATGAATGTCTCTTCGGAAATAACAATTGCATCATAAATCTCAGTCCAAACTGAAAATTTTAAATTAGTAAAATCATATTACTATGTATTAAAAATGTAAAATTATAAATTGTCAATATCTTCTTTTCTAACTTTTCACTTTGGTTGACTTAATGGTACTGCAAATTCATCAATATAATAGCCCAATTAATTTAATAATCAATTTTTGATTCTTTTAAATTTTATATAGTGTAAGGGCAAAGACCTCTGTGAAACTTTTTTTTTCTCTGGAATTTTTCTCATTAATTTTAAACTTCTGATTAATTTTAAATTTTACTTGGGTTTTTCTTTCCATTGATATGTTGAGATTGACCTGGAGGCTAGAGCTGCAGTTTGGAGGTATCATCTATAATTTTGGCCCAAGGTGCAGTATCCTGTTGTAGATAGAACTAAGTGTCACCTGGAACTGAGTAACCATCACTATGTTAATAATAAATGGTCAGTGTTTTGGTTCAGCAGTAAGTGAAGGGGGCCCTAGAAGAGGAAGGATGGTACCTGTACTTCAAAGTGAGAATACACATACACAAATTCCTGTTATAAAACAAAATTTTGGGCCGGCCGAGTGGCTCAGTTGGTTAAGAGCTCGCTCAAGAGTTTGAGCTCTGAGCAACAGCGGTTCGAGTCAGCCCGAGCTGAGCAGCCGTGAGCTGCCAACAGGTGGTGGGATGGCTCAGCTAAAAAAAAAAAAAAACAAAAAAAAAAAAAAAAAAAAAAAAAAACAAAATTTTGCCACCCTGAAGCTTTTGGCATATTGATTTTTAAGTTGTTTATTAAGGAACAGGACTCAGAAAGAAACCTTTGAGCCTCCCTCCTTTCCTGCCCAAGAGATTCAGATAGAAAAACCTGCCTTAGGAAGGGAGCCTGGGCTTGATCACCTTAAGAATCTTCTTCGCCCTGGCGTTTGTCAGGAAGACTCCAAGCCTGTTAGCTAGATACCCCCTGTGGCCCATTGTCTCTGAGCTGCCCAGCAGGAATTTTCCTGCCATGTCTGTTCTGCTTCTCACCTCCCTGTAAATCACCCATTCTCACTTCTGAAATCTAATACTCCATCCTCCCCTTTTCTCCTTTGTTCATAAATATCATATATACCCAGTGTTGCCTCACTGTCTTTGGAATTTTCATGCCTATATGAATTTCCCATATGCATGTATTAAAATTTTAATTTTCTGCTGTTAATCTCTCTATTAATTTGATTATTGGCCCAGCTAGAAAAACTTAGAAGCTGGGAGGAAAAGCATTAATTTTTTTTAGCCCCCACTGTTATTACAATGCAAACTTTGGGGAAACTCACTGTTTGGGAATGAGTGTTTCACAGAGTTTTATATACACATTGGTATGTGAGGTAATCAAATCAGGAATGTCAGAATTAATCAAGATGGGCTAAGTTTTATAGCAGTAATAAATGCAAAACCTTACTGGCTTAAACCAACAAAGATTTATTTTTGTGCACACTACCTATTTTTAGAACTCCAACAGAAATTGCCCATTTTTGCCATAACTTCTTATATCATAATTCAAGCAGACAGCACAAAATAAAGAATTTAACTGATGTTCAATGATGATGGAATTGCCCATTCTAGTAATAAACTTTTTTCACAAAATAAACATGTATGGAAAATTGGGTTGAAATCCCGAATGGAGAATATAAAGTGAATATTAACAGTGATCCAGTTTTAAAAGATAGGGTCACTAATAAATTACAACTTATTTCATTAAATTCCCTAGAGGTAGCTATTTTATTGTGAGGTCTTTATTTAGTTGCAGACCTTGGAAAAGCTATTGGAGATGTGGTAATCCCAAAGTGGAAAAGTGGCAACAATTTTATCAATTTGTAGATAATAAAAGTCATTCACCAATAAGCAAGTGGAGGATTCTATGAAGGCTCCTATTGGGCAGATAGGGTATCTTAACATTGAAAGGTAGTATGTTTTGTACTGCTGATTTCCAAATCTGAAGATTATTATTCAGTGGTTCGTGATGGTTCCCTGGAATCTAGTTTTTTGTTTGTTTGTTTTTGTTTTTTTTTTACAAAGCTCCCCAGTAGATTTGGGTACAATTAGTCTGCAATGTGGACTTTTTAAAAAATGAAAGCTGTATTTTCAATTTGGTGAATGAAAACATAAAGGAATGGAATAATAATATAAGGTTATGGAACTAAAGAAAGATTCAGTTCAGTATGAACTAAAGATTATTTTAAACCATTAATCTATGGGGTTATTGTATTCCTCTTGTTCTGATGTTCTCATTTCTACCCATAGCTCTGCCACTAATTTCCTATGTGATTTCAGGTCAAACACTTTTAACTTCAGCTTCTTCTGATAAATGAGATTAAGTAGATTATTAATGAATATCCCTAGCAATTCTAAAACCCCAATATTTCCTTTAGACTTTCCAATTACCTTAAATTGGTTGTGGGATACACAGGGGTCAGATGTTCAAGGTACGCTCTTGGTGACAACTATTATGGAGAGAAATGTGTAGCAGAAATGTCTGGCCTTGTTCCGCTACCTTCAAAAAATGCCCACTAATTCTAGGGAAGGTCAGTAGGTGCAGGGTATTGACGGGGGTGTTCAGGACATGCTAGCCCAAAACAGCACCTTCGCATGTTGAATATTTCAAACTGAAGGAATTTGAGAAGTGGCATGTGCAGGAAAGATTTTCTGGTCTTGTCTGAAGTAGGTCATAAGGCCTTCCTATGGGAGGTGCTCTCCCTATGCCCAGAGGAAAGAAGAATCCTTACTTCAAAATCAAAGGGACACAGAGGAATCTGAATAAACAGGCCTTGCTAAGTTTCCTCCAGTTTACAACACTTAGCTCACACCCCTTTGTCCTATCATATCCTTCCACAACTTTCCAGTCTTCATCAAACCTAGCATTAAAACGCTCAAGTTTAGCTCTTTCTTCAGGTCCTTAATGAAGGCTTCTATGTCATGTAAAACCTATATTAAGTAAATTTGTATACTTTTCTCTTGTTGATCTGTCTTTGTTACAGAGGTCCCAGTTGAGAATTTAGAAAGGTAAAGAAAACAGATATTTTTCCTCCTCTACAATAAGTATATCACAACTGAGCAAGCCATGGGCTCTGGGGCCATTTATTCACAGATCCTATCAAGCTCTTGAAGACTGGGTCATGATCTCAAATAGACCAGTATAGCATGCACTCAACAATAAAATGGGAAATAACAGGGAAAACACAGCTAAACATCACATCTAAGTAGGATCCTAACATGATTTTATTCCAATGGTTTATGTAAATTCCCATCCCACCTCTTATTCACCTCTTACCCCTCTTATTAATGAGGAAATAACAGACTGAATAGAGAGACAGTCAGTATAATTTGACAAACTTGTCTAAATTGAGAGAGTCTGAATTAGCTTTGACTCAGGGAAAGAGCTGTTTGCAACTCTAAACAAATCCTGACTTCTTTCTGATGTACTCCTGACAACCTTAATACAACCTTAGAGCAGTTGCCCAAAAGATAATTTTTCTAAAAAATATTGCCAACAATTCTGAAGGCAAAATTCCAAGACATTATTTACCTTCAGCATTCTTCAAATACTTTTTCTCACCTCCCGCCCCCAAGTTCTAATAAGAAATGTGTGAAGTCTACACAGCCAGTAAAAATCTACAGATTTATGTGCATAATATGTAAAAGCCATTTGGGGGACTACAAATATAAGTGATACATAATGCTACCCATTAGGATGCTTATGCTTACGATTAGCAGGAAAAATAGAATGATGCTTCCATAGATTAACAAGAACAATTAAATTCACAGGTACAGAAAGCATTCCTTACCTAAAATACTCCAAATTCTACAATAATTGCTTTCCTCAATTCCCATAGAGTACTGTGATCGGGCTGTCAGAGTCCACTGAGAATGCCGAGCTAACCCTCTTTTGACAGTATGGACATTTTTTAAAGGCTTCTCTTTTAACCTACGAAATCCTCTAATTAGTGTATTTCATTAAGCAGTGAAGGACCTTCAGATTAGCTTCCACAGCCAACGCTCCCCTCCCACTCTCCAGAGTTGATGAAATCAAATGCTTTGGAAGTGCTCGTTTTAGTAATTCAAATCAGTTGAGAGAATACAGATAGAACTGCGGGGCGGCGCGGGGGAGGGGGGGGGATGATGTGCAAATTTTGAACTGGGGGATTGCAAACGTGGGGAAACTACGCCACCTCCCGGTGAGAGATGGGAACGAGCAGGAAAAAGGCCTAATGACTTGCAGGCTAAGCGGCTGTTTTCATTTCCAAGCTTCAAGCAGCGCACCTCTCGCTCTAGTGGACCCCCGAGACCCATCGCTCCGGGCAGCTCTGACCACTCAATGAGTCCCGAGCAACGTGATTGACAGGCAACAGCCCGGTCCGTTACCTAAATTCGTCACTCCGGAAACAGTAACCCGATCCTTCCGGAAGCTCCGGGTCCTCGCTCTCCCAGCATCCTCTGCCTTCCGGCTATGTTGAGTGCCGTCCGGCCAGTCCCGCCTTGCGCGCCCATTTCGAGCCCGAGTTCCAAGCTTGACTTTCCACGTTCGAGAACCCGGCACAGATTTGCAAGGACTGGGTTCCTGGGCTGTGGCTATGGGGACAGAAATGGCGCAGCTGGAGGGTTACTACTTCTCGGCTGCCCTGAGCTGTACCTTTTTAGTGTCCTGCCTCCTCTTCTCCGCCTTCAGCCGGGCGCTTCGAGAGCCCTACATGGACGAGATCTTCCACCTGCCGCAGGCGCAGCGCTACTGTGAGGGCCATTTCTCCCTCTCGCAGGTGGGGTCCCCACCCTGTCCCCACCCTGTCCGCGCCCAGGACAGGCCAAGGAAGGCAGCCCCATCGCTGTTTCTCCTCCCCTTAGTCCTTAGCTCCCTCCCCTCCCACCCTCAGCCTCAAACATGAAGGGAACTGGGTAACCTTTTGTTCCTGTCTCTGAGATCTGTGAAATATTTGTGTAAAATGAATGAATAAGCAGGAGATCTGCCACCTAGGAAGAACTGTTCTGGGAGATGAACTAACGGGGACCTGCGTTACTGGCCCTCTTCTTGGCAACTGATGATGGCGGGAGTCACAGTTGTCCTTCCCCAATCCCAGTGCGAGGCATTGGGCTGCTCCTCTCGCTTAGCTCAACTCTCAGGCCTCTCCCACTGCATTTTTGGGGTGTCTTCAGCCAAGAAATGACAAGTTACCGTAATTCCATCCCTGGTGTTTTTAGGACCCTTTTTGTTAACTGGATAAACTGCTCACTAGTGAAGTGGCATCATGTCTGAATATATCATTGACTACATGAATATATAGACACGGATACAAAAATCAAGTACCGCGGGCCCTGGAATACCTTCCTTTGTTCAGTGTACTTTCCTTATAACCTTGGTGAGATGTCGTAGGAACTTAACTCGTGTTTATAGCAGTTAGCCTGTTGTGAAATTGGTTTCATTATATGTTATTTTGGTTAAAGTCCTAGAGCCTAACACGGACACTAAGGATTTATTGTAGGCACACTCTTCTTCCTTTTCTGGTGAGGCAACATAGAGTAGTGGTGAGAAATACAGAGTCTAGTTAGAGAAAGACCTGATTTTAAATTTTGGAGTTTGCTTACTAGCTATGTGACCTTGTAAATTGCTGAGTTTCAGGTTACTCATCTGAAAATGACAGTAGTAATAGTATCTACTGTATGGTCTGTCGAAGGATTAAATACGGAGGGTTTAGCGCCATTCCTGGCCCAGTACAGGTTAGCTATCATTATGGAGCCTATGGTTTAATCTCTTTTAAACACTTTGTTTCTCGCCAAACAGATCAGCGTTCCAGCTGATGTTTCCACACTTTTAAAAACTGGAGCATTTGCCGTTTAATCACCAAAATACAGCCTTTCTGAAGAGTAGAAACTAATTTTAAGTTGTCTACTGGTTGGTGATCCCGTAACAATTACAAAACAGGTGCAGTTGAATAACATAAGCAAAACTTGAAGAGGCGACATCTGATCGGCTGAGGACTTAGTTGTGTCACAGAATAACTTCTAGAAATGCCTGATGGTTGGTGAAGGTGTTTTTGAGCTTGACACCTTGGTGTCAGCCCTCTTGCATTTGCTTCATTGTCGGCCTTTCATTTTTCAGTGGGACCCCATGATTACTACATTACCTGGCCTGTACCTGCTGTCCGTTGGTGTGGTCAAACCTGCCAGCTGGATCTTTGGATGGTCTGAACATGTTGTCTGCTCCATCGGAATGCTCAGATTTGTAAATCTTCTCTTCAGTGTTGGCAACTTCTATTTACTGTATTTGCTCTTTCGCAAGGTGCAACCCAGGAACAAGGTATGTTTTCAAAATAATTTATACATTTACATGCAGTCAGGTCCACAATTATGATGAATTGGTGTATGAGATTTGGTGAAAACTGTCTTTAACGGTCAGTATTTGTGTGCATTTTGTAAAGTTAAAGCAAGTCCATTTTAGGAGAAATTTATATTTAAATACTTGAATAACTTTATAAAAATTCTAAAGTGAATGTTCATGAATCAAACCAATTCAATTAATATTTACTGTGCTTCCTCCATGTGCTAAGTGCTGCAACTACAGAGGCAAATGAGCCAATCTTTTTCTTGTAAAAGTTATAATATATCTTCATTAGGAGAAATGGACTTTACCTGAGGAATTTTTATGTGAGTTAAAAATGCAGGCCCTGGAGGTTAATTGCCTGGGTTTGAATTTTATCCGCTTAACTAATTATAATACCTTAGGCAGGTTACCCCTTAGTGGCTCCATGTTTCCATCTGTTAAATGAGAATAACATAGACTGCTATAAAAGTAAGGAGATTAAATGAAGGTGCCTGGAATAGTTCCTGATATAATAGTAAGGCCTCAATAAATATTAATTATAATAATTATTTTTAACTTAAAGAGATGATATCAGTAGTGTAAATTACGAGAGGCGATAGGCATAAGACACTATGCGTCTACAGAGAAGGAGCAGAGACCTATTGCAGCCTGACTGAGGGGGAGATGTGAGTGGCCTTGGCTAAGGCCTCACAGGAGCATGGTACCTGAGCTGAGTCTTGATGAACAGATGAGGCTATAGGGTGGGGAATGAATCCTGGCAGGATAAGCATGAGCAAAAGTAGAAGGGCATTGAGCAACAAGATGGCAGGGAACTGGTGTTTGGAATTAGAGGATTGTAAGAGTACAGGGATATGAGGCTGGAGAAGTAGGTAGGGGTGAAGTCATCAGTCCCCTGAAATGCCATGGAAAGGATTTTGAACTTCAGTAGGTGAAGGACAGCTCTCAATTTTAATCAAGACAATGTCATGGTTCGATTTGATGGTTTAGATTAAATGGAGGGTACAATTCAAGGAGATGAGAATACTTTCAAGTTCTGAAATAGCATGTCAGAAAAGCTAAGAAAAGATATTTAACTTTAGAATGGGCCCGGTATTTTCAAGAAAATCCCTGTAATTTCATCATGAAATAGTAAGATCATTGGGTAGAGTAAGTATATATGCTGTATACATATTTACATTCTCTCCTGCAGGGGTTTGAAGGAATATCTTTAACAGAAAGTTGTGAGGATGGCTAAGTGAATGCCTATTGAAGGCGTTAAGACTTAAGCTCAGAGAAATGGAACCACTTGTACTGTGTCCTACTCATTTCCATGTTCTGCATAGAATTTAGTTCAGTGTCTTGTACACAATAACTTCTTAAATATTTGTTGAATGACTCAAAGTATTTTAGGCCTTAAAATAAAAGTTTTGACACCTGTATTTGTTGTTTTATTGGCTTCCAAACTGATAGGTGTAACCAGAAAGTGCCAGAGTAATGTTATAAATGTATATTGTTTTTGTAAAGCCAGAAATGATTAATATTGAATAATTTTATTTAAATTAGATTCAGGTAGGTTTTTTTTTTTTGGTTTGGTTGGTTTTTTTGTTTGTTTTATTAGCTCCATAGAAAGAGCATATTTGTTTTATCGTGAAAATTATTTTAACTGTATTTTTTCTTCCTCTTAGGCTGGCTCAAGTATCCAGAGAATCTTGTCAACATTAACCTTAGCAGTATTTCCCACACTCTATTTTTTTAACTTCCTTTATTATACAGAAGCAGGATCCATGTTTTTTACTCTTTTTGCCTATTTGATGTGTCTTTATGGAAATCATAAAACGTCAGCCTTGCTTGGATTTTGTGGCTTCATGTTTCGTCAAACAAATATTGTCTGGGCTGTCTTCTGCGCAGGAAACGTCATTGCACAAAAGTTAACTGAAGCTTGGAAAACGGAGCTACAAAAGAAAAAGGAAGAGAGGCTTCCCCCTATTAAAGGACCATTTTCAGAATTCAGGAAAATTCTTCAGTTTCTTTTGGCTTATTCCATGTCCTTTAAGAACTTGAGTGTGCTTTTCCTTTTGACTTGGCCATACATCCTTCTAATGTTTCTGTTTTGTTTGTTTGTGGTAGTTAATGGTGGAATTGTTGTTGGCGATCGGAGCAGTCATGAAGCCTGTCTACATTTTCCTCAGTTGTTTTACTTTTGCTCTTTCACTCTCTTTTTTTCCTTTCCTCACCTACTGTCTCCTAGCAAAATTAAAGCTTTCCTTTTCTTAGTTTGGAAACGTAGAATTCAGTTTTTTGTGATTGCCCTAGTCTCTATAGTTTTAGTTTGGAAATTCACTTATGCTCATAAATACTTGCTAGCCGATAATAGGCATTATACATTCTATGTGTGGAAAAGAGTTTTTCAAAGATACGAAATTGTGAAATATTTGTTAGTTCCAGTCTATATATTTGCTGGTTGGAGTATAGCTGACTCATTGAAATCAAAGTCAATTTTCTGGAACTTAATGTTTTTCATATGCTTATTTACTGTTACAGTACCTCAGAAACTGCTAGAATTTCGTTACTTCGTTTTACCTTATGTTATTTACAGACTTAATATACCTTTGCCACCCACATCCAGACTTGTTTGTGAACTGGGTTGCTATGCAGTTGTTAATTTCCTAACTTTTTATATCTTTCTGAACAAGACTTTTCAGTGGCCAAATAGTCAGGACATTCAGAGGTTTATGTGGTAATATCACAGATATCTTGAACTCTAAAAATAGACATTATTTAGACTGTTTCCACAATGAGCAGCTGAACAGGTAAAAATTATGGACTTTTCTTTTAAAGGCACAGTGGTGATCCTCAGATCACATCAGATTTTTTTGTTTTAAACATCATATGTATGTGTTTTAAACTTATATAAAAATCTAAGGAAGTTAAGTGGTTGAGAACTTAGAAAAGTTTAAGTTAAGCTCCATAAGCCTGAGTAATAATGGGAAAATAAAATTGTTTACGGTTATCTCATGATATCCCTTTGTTAACTGCTGGCCACTCAGAAGGCTTGGAAACTTTTTGTAGATACAAATTTCAGAAAATTGGACATGCTTTATTAATACTGGAACTTATTTATTCCCTTTAGAAAGCAATAGCAGACAAAATATTTACAAATGATCAGGTAATAATTTTTTTAAAAAATTTATTGGGATGACAATGGTTAGTAAAATTATATAAATTACATAGCTTTCAAGTATACAATTCTATAATACATCACATATATCACATTGTGTGTTCACCACCCAGAGTTAGTTTTCCTTCCATCACTATATATTTGATCCCTTTTACCTTTTTCTACCCCCCTTAACCCCCTACCCTTTAACCTCTGGTAACCACTAAATTGCTGTCTGTGTCTATGAGGTTTTGTTTCTTTGTCTTGTTCCTTTGTTGCTTTCAGTTTTGTATCCCACATACGAGTTAAGTCACATGGTTCTTGACTTTTTCTGTCTGACTTATTTCACTTAGCATAATAATCTCAAGATCCATCCATGTTGTTGCAAATGGCAGTATTTGATTTTATGGCAGAGTAGCATTCCATTGTGTATACATACCACATCTTTATACAATCATCTATCGAAGGACACTTTGGTTGTTTCAGTTTGTCTTGGCCACCATAAATAAAGCTTCAGTGAACATTGGAGTACGTATATCTTTACGGATATATGTTATCAAATTTTTTGGATATATACCCAGGAGAAGAATTGCTGGCTCATCAGGTAATAATTCTTGATTGAAAAGTTGCTTGACAGTGCAGTAAATTTAATTTTAATCATAAGGCAAAATAGACTCACATAGATAGGAAGTGTTATAAGAGGCTCATCTATGTCTATCCAGGATTTAAATTGATTTTTGTTAAAATTCTAGAAATGAAGCTCTTTCACTAATTCCTAATATGAAATATATGCTAGCCAAAGTGTTGATGATATTTTCAAAAGGGATTTTCTTTTTGAAATACATTACTGTATTCGTTCTCTTTAGCTGCCTTAACAAGTTACCACAAACTTGGTGACTTAAAATACATTTCTCTCACCGTTCGGGGGCCATTACTTTAAAATTAAGATGTCTGCAGGCTTAGTGACCTGTGGAGGCTGTGAGGGAGAACCAGTTCCTTGCCTCTCCTAGCTTCCTGTGGCTGGCTCCCTGCAGTCACGGATGTTCCCTGGTTTACAGATGCATCACTCCAGTGTCTGCCCTTGTCTTCACACGGCTTTCCCCTCTGTCTGCTTTATCTTATAAGGACAGTATCATTGAATTTCGGGCCCACCTTAATCCAGTTATGTTACTTATATCTACAAAGACCCTTTTTCCAAATAAACTCGCATTTATAGGTACATATCTTTTTGTGGGACATTTTTCAACCCACTTAAGTTACCAAAGGAGATTTTAGGATATATCTCATAAAAGTTGTAGGAAATAATTTTCTTTGCTGAGATATTTTAAATAGAATTTTATCTTTACTGAGAGGTTAGAAGTGATTTCCGAGGTCACATAAAATAAAGAGAACTGCTATTTGATTCCATTATACAAAAAGAATTGAAAGGAAGTTTAGAAATTATTTGATAATCTTACTTTGTACATTAGGGAATAACCGCTTGGGTAGGATTTTTGTGCATTGGTTTTTGGATTGTGTCGACTATTTTGAGTACATTCATGTACATTCATTGGGTTGTTATTCCATTACAGAAAAGTATTATTTGGACACGTTAACTTGGACATGTAAATTTACAACTGTGAATAGAATTCATCTTTAAATCTCATTTTACATTTGTGAACTTTTTAAAATAGCTGTGTGAACAAGTTACTGTCTTAAATGTTGGATAATGCTTTCTCTGGGTTTTGAATAATAAGTGGATTTGGAAAGTATTCTGCATTTGCAAATATAAAATTGTGTGCAGGTGAACACTACAAGTATAGTCTTGAGTAATAAATACAGAGCAGTCTTTTGTTGTATTCTATTCAGTACTTAGAAAGTAGATTGACTAGTTAATCACTGTCTATAATGATTGGAGAACAAATGTTTTTTGCCCAAACTTTATTTTTTTTAAATTAGACAAGAAAGCATACTCAAAGAAATTACTATTTATAATGGACATCTGAGTTCCAGGAAGTCAGAACTGGAAAAAAAAAAGATGTGCAATTTAGGAAAAACAGCTTTCTTGTCTGATACTATATGAAAGGCTTTCAGGAATATTTCTAAGACAAATGTTTCTTCTCCAGTCTGGCAAAAATGAAGAACCCATTCCACCCCATAGATTGGGGGAATCACTGTTCCAGTTAATTTTTCAGTGTTGAGTTCCTAAGAGATGTTTTGGAGAAAGTCTGCATTCAGAGAAAACTAGTTAATCTTATGTGTTTTCTAGAAAGTATGTAAGGTGCGGTACTTAACATTTTAAATTAAAAGGTGCTGTGAATTAAAAGGTGCTATGGAGCTTGCTTTTAGAAATGTTATTGTTGTGTTTTGAACATTTTTCAAGAGTTATCAAATAAATATTTTTAACCTGAAGTTTTAAAAAATTAGACTTAATTGGATTTCTTGATTAAAAGGTGATTATAAAAGTATTGATAAGCTAGAGGGCCTGTGGAGCTTTGCGATTATCGTTATTAAAGCATGTAAGTAGGATTATATTAATGTCAAAAAATTTACTCCATAATATGTTTAACTCTTTTTTAACTTTTTCTATCTTACATGAAATTCTGTAGAGTACCATTTTTATGTAGCATTAGTAAGGTTCCAGTGTGCGGTGTTTTTCCTCCCATATTATTTATGTCTTCTCTTAGTGGGTACCCAGAAATCTTTTCTAATGTATTTGACTATGTATTTAAATGATTTTTACAGTGTTCCTGAGGTTAAACATAGCATGTCATTTTGGCAAAAGAAATGATGTTAGCTCTTTGGCCTCTTCCTCCTTAAAGTTATTGTGGAATGTGCTTAGTCTGTCATAAAGCACCTTATAGAAATAGCTTAATGCAATTGATTTCTAATTGAATGGCTTAACGTAGAATATTTCTAGTTTGAGTTTAACTGCCACTGTACAATTTTTTTTATTTATAATTGAAGACACGAGAGGAGAAGAAAAGAGATCCTCAATTTTTATTTATACCCCCTAAATTACAGTAGACTAGCATGTTAAACTCACTTTTAAGTAAAATGTTCATATAGAGAAATTCATGTTAATTAGGTTAGAGAGCATTTATTATTTTGAAGCAATTAGAATTTCATTGAAAAGTGAAACAAGAAGTTTGCAAATATAACATGAAAAAATTTTTTTCTAGTGGAAATTTAAACATGACTTAGGAACCATGGGCTTGTAGAAAAAGCATTGAACATGGTAGTTAGGGTTTCTGTATTTGATTGTGGCTTTGGAATCAATAAGGCAAATACTGGGTTGTCGGAAAAGTCATGACATAGTTTTTCTATGTTTTTCGTTGCAAAAATGCATCATGACTTTTCCGACAACCCAATAGTTTAATCTTTGATCTTCATTTGAAATGAGAATAGTATTTGTCCTAACTCTGGTCAGTGCCTGGCCCATGACTAGCCTTATTTCAAAAAGAATTCAGCCCCCGCCGTATATCCATAAAGTTCATAAATAAGTTAAATAATAAATATTGAGTAAATGTATACTGAATGAAGTATAGAAAGAAGCGAATATCCTAGAAAAAATACTATATAACTGTTAGCTAATTTTAGGCTATAAATCACATGTTTCATAATGAGAACCATCCTAAACTTTTGCCCAAATTTTCTGACCTAGTTTTTATTTTTTTATTTACTGTAGTGTTTAATACTTCTACATGTATTTACTTGTAAATATATGTTTTTATAATAAGATGTGATTTCAAAATTATTGCTGTTTATTTAAAATAAAAATAAGTAACTGTCAACCATTAAATTATAATAGCAGAACTGATGGTTATTAGACTTTTAAGGAAAAAAGAGATTTCAACCAATTACAAATATTTTGTATTGTTTTAGGCTGTATTTTACTACTTTAAGGATAACTTGATTATCTTATTTAGGGTACATTTTATATATTTAAAGTTTGACAACAAGACAAACATTTTCAATGTACTAAACCTTGTATCACTGAGAAAATTATAATAGAAATGGATAGGTTGAGGTTCTATGTTTGTAACACGTATCCGTGAATCCAACGCTTAATTTTTAACATTTGGAAATTATTTCTAGGGTAAGAAATTTGTCACAGTGAAATAATCCGATAATACATTTATATTGTGCTTTTTTTAAAAAAGAGCATTTGATGAATTGAATGTTAATTTAATTTGATGTCAGTGCATCACATCAGACCAAAAGAGATACAGTATTTTTCAGACAAGAAAAATATTAGACTGTGTATTGATATTTCACACTAATTGAAGCTTACATCAGTTCATTTAAACCATTTATATGTATGTATGGCACATCCAAAATGAAGAAGAGAAGGAGGAAATGTAATAATAATTGCTATCATTTATTGAGCACATAATGCTCTAGGTGTTTTATTGGTTGATTTACAGTTATGGTCACATTTGATCCTACTCATATTCCCATGAGGCAGATGTTGATTCCTGTTTGACTCCTGGAGAAAATAAAGGTCAAGCAGACAAGGTAACTTGCCTGAAGTCAGTGCTGTTCACCTAAGATCATAGATTGGTCTGATTCCCGACTGCGTTTTTGACTGCATGCCTCACAGTGAAAGTTTTTCATTAAAAAAAGTAGGATATGGAGAATGAGGTAGTAATCTGTCTTTACTCTGCATTTGCCAGACCAGTCATGGCATGTTATTTTTTGTATTGGATGTAGTCATTTTTAGAAATACTAGAAACTAAAGAAACATGAACAGATGAGTGTTTATAATTGTATTGCAAGAGAAATGGCTAAAACATGTACAGGATGTTTAACGTGGAGAAGCAGCGATCCTATAATTGGATAAGATCACATAATTAAAGAATAATTATTTGGAAGGATT